TTCCGCCCTAATGGCGTGATAAACTATTTTTTTCTTAACTTTAGGAATTATTATATTCAAATTATTTGAAATTAATGAGAACTTATATAAATAATTCATAATAGTTAGAATTTCGGACAAAGCGAGAATCAAAAGATACAACAGTATTTTGCTCCTACAAATATTACCAGATGTGCACAGAGCAGATGTCACCCAAAAACAAGAAAAACTTTCGAGAATAGATAAATTTGATTATCGCATCTATATAAATTGTAAGGAGGTAGATAGTATTCAGAGTTAGTTTCCAATAAAAATCCATACACAAGTCTGAAAATATATTCAAAATATTTATGCAAAGTTTGAAGACCTTGGATTTCTTCTGAATCGAGAAATTAGTGTAACAATTTTTGTCAAATTTGCATTAGTTCTCATGAGAATCGACTAAACTGACCAACTTGAAAATTTTAATACAACAGTCTGACTTAGATAAAGTTGTGGTAAGTAGTGAACTATAGAATTTGCTCACTGTGAAAGGCAAACACTTATATCGATTAAGTTTATGAAAGAAAAGTTATTTATAAATGTATTCGAGAATCATCGAACTTTCTATATTATACTAAAGTATAAGACAAGCATGCGCAATTCTAATCCGAAAAAAGGCAAAAAGTCAGGTGTTTTTTTTGCACCCCCACAAAAGGTCAAAAAATCTTCTTAAGGTGGTTTGGGTGATTTTTATTGGAATGATAATAATCTCTGAAATTTTGTAATTCTGTGAACAAAGTGTGTCTAATTAATTTGCGAAAAAAAATACTAGGGTCAACCACTTCATTTTTCAGAAAATTGCTACTAAAAACTCACCAATTTAACACGCAATCTTGTGGGATCTATGACTAAAATGACTATATTTAAAAGTAAATGACAAACCTTTAAAAATAAGAATTGTATTTACACCTTATTTTAAAAGAAATCTTTTAGAATTGTGAAAATTATATGCAACCTATTTCGATTTTAAGAAAGTTAAGAGAGAAGTGATTCATCATCTTCTTTGCATGCGCAGATTAAAATGATGGGTCATTATTATTCTTTAATCAATATTTTATTGAATGATGGAATTTTTGAATTTTAATATGTAATTTAGATATTCAATTATCATGATAATGAACAAAGAATATTTTTCATAATCCATAGAACCATAAAGGGTCCCTCGCTTAGTACGGCACAAAATACCCAAGCCACCTTAATGCGGTTTAAAGTTTAATCTGCTTTAATATTTATTATTAATATACAGTGCATCCTTGTAATTAGAACCATAATAGACGAATAAAGTATGATAACTTTGTATCGAAATGAGGATTGATTATTTAATGTTTATAGGAGAAAAGAACGAAGAGGAAAAATATAACAGTGCGGGTTGGGCGCCCAAGAAATGAAACTGCTCTACGTAGAAAAGATTCGCTTTTAAAAATACACGCGCAGCCACGCCCGCAGCATTGCACCGCTGCAACGGAGCGTTTTCTTGCGCCCCTTGCCTCTATTTTTCTCTTCCCATGCATATGTATATACGTGCTACTGTTCCTTCTACATAAATATTCTCTATTTTACTTCTCGTTTCATCTTTTCGTAAGCTTAAGCTGGTTGGCGTCCACTGTGGGCGGTGGCGTCGTGAAGCACACACACACGTGCGCGCGAGCGCACAAACTATCACAGGCATTCATCAGCGTAACCGATTTATCGTCTTGAGCGCGCGCTGTAGAGTTTTTGCCGCGTTTAAACTTTGCGGAACTGGCTCCATGAGTTTGCGTCTCGTTTCTCGCTTTCTGTCGGACGAAGTTTGCGATTGGGAGAAAATGAAGTTTCTTCGTTATCGAATTGCTTTTGTTTACTTGTCGTTTTTTGAGTCTTTTATGTGTTGACTTACAGTAGCCGGAAAGGTATGGAAAACAGTATGAGTTTCTTTTTTTTTTTTCTTTTTTTTTTAATCCACGCATTGTTGGTTTTAAAGAAATTGGATTTATGACGATGCAAGTTTCGGCGTGATTTTCAAAATATCTCTTGAGTTCAAGGGATATTTGTTTTGCGCTCGATGCTCGAATACAACTAGGAATGGAAAACAAATTTTTTAGAGACGCATGTATCATATGATTTACCGGTTCAAGTAACGAAGACCGAGTCTGTCGAAGACGTACACCTGCACGTAGCACTGTACTTTTACGAAATCAAATGTCAGCTTCTATCGTCGGGCCAACGAAAATATTTTTCATTTTTATTGTAGTCGTATTGCTGGAAGTTAATTGACTCCTTCATCCCATTCTCGGAACTGTACCCGCACGACGCAGCTGATAGTTTTTCTCGTTACCAACGATATTGCTACGAAATCTGTAATGCTGTACATATGTCATGGTCAGCTGATTTAAAAAATAAAACTTTTGCCCATTTTCCCACGTGATGACTGAACAATATCTTCACTGTATTTTGTGAAAAGGTTGATTAGAAAAGCAATTGCTTTCTGAGTTTGGCTAATAAATACGCCAGGCGTCTGCATGTTTAATTTCAACGTTGCGGTTTGACGAAATGAAATTTCCAACCCAATCTTCACAAGCGTTACAATTTTGAGAGGGGAAAAAAACGAATTTTTATTAAGTCGAAGTAGAACTATATAAAAATTGCCTACGAGATAAATAAAGTTTATGATGCTTTTTCGTTAATATATGATCATAAAAATAAATCGCTAAATTCACGTAACAAGAAAATGTAGGTTCCTTATTAATCCTAATAACAATCAAACCTTTGTTAATAAAACTGCCCAGCACTGAAGAATTTCTCCGATGAAACTGCTTTTTCACGGCAATTTTAAATTAAGTTCCGTCAAAATCTTTGAAAATAAGAGCCCCAAATGTAGTGTTTTTCCTTGCCTCCAATCTCTATGAAATTGAAAGCCCGATTTTACGACTCGACGCTGCAGTGGAATAAACAGCTTCTCGAAACTATCGCGGGACCGCGCCTACGGTGTACACGTACCTTGCAGTCCTAGCGCTACGTAAACCTCGAGCCGCGGCTTCTGGTGAAGAAAAGCACCAAGTTTTACGACCAAAGGCTACCTATATATATACTACACACGAGTGCGTATATGGTATAAGCAAAGGCACAACAGCCGACTCGAGTTGCATCCCATCTAGCGCTAGACGAAACCTCAAGAGCGTGAACCACCTCGGAAAAATTGCGGCAGCTATTCGTTGCACCTTTCCGCTTATTGTAATGCTACTTGTACGTGACAATTGCGCGCGTATGAAAGAAACCTCGAGAAATTCCGTACTACCGGATAGTTGTTGGTACCCATACGCAAGTATTTATACTTCAGTCGCACAAAGGGTCCAAACGCGTCTATGGTGCGTAGGTAGTAGGTATACACGTAGGAGTGTGCGCCAAAAACTATATTTAAACGGGAGGAGGAAAAGGGAGCCCCCGAAGAGGAACAAGACGGGAAAAAACACAAGTGTTGGAGGAGCGAAAGAGGGAAATGAATGGGACGTAGGTATACGCGTGCGTGGACGGAAGTGAAAAGTGGATATATAATGAACCAAAGGAGGTCGCTGACGGTATACCTGCGTATTATACCGCGAATGATTTACTTAACATATAAGGGAGTGTCTATATATTGACTTTAATTTTTTTTTTCCTCCACCCATCCCAAGTAAAGAGTGAAATACCGATTTATTGTTTATGGCCGATTCGTACTCTGATGAATGACAACAGGCTTCGTGTGGCCGTAATACATCTACGATTAAACAAATAAAGAAAAAAGAATAGACAAAACTTGTTAATGGGAATTAACGTGGTTGGTATTTACCACGGCTAACATAAAAAAAGCATTTCTGTATACCGTAAAATCATTGTGCGCCGGTGATTTCAATTCGCGGAAGTCAAATAAAGCAACAATGAATAATTGAATAAAAAAGAAAAATAAAAGCCAAGATGCAATAGTGTATATTATATTGTGTATGAAACGATGAAAGCGCGGCGGCAGGGCATATATGTTTGCAAAAGGAGGATACGCAGCCGTGGAGAAAGGAAGCGAGAGAAAGAGAGCGCGTGTGGGAGAGGCGAGGAGGAGGAAGAGCCATAAATATAAATGCAGGAAACGCGCGAGCGCAAAGAGCCGCTTGTTGCGTCTGCGGCGAATCCCTCGATGTTATCCGCGTGTGTGCAGTGTTCTTTGACTATACCCAAAATTGGCGTTGCTCGTTGGTTAAAATCCTTAATCGTTGAATTTATGACCTTTGAATTGGTGGTTCAGTCGACAATCTATGTAGGAATGGTTGTGTGTATGTGCAAGTGTTACCTCTCCATACGAGGGTTGATGGATGAAAAGTAAACGCGTCGTGCCTCCGATGACAAATTGATATTGACGCGTCGGAACCATGACAGCCGCACTGGTAAAAACATCGTGTACGGAAAAGAGCAGCGACCACAATTTGTCGATGATTACACCAGACGATCGATTAAATCGTACGTATCTGATTATATTCAAAGCCCAGCGTTTCCAGTTGACCTGCATTCCCTTTTCACTGCTGCCACATCATATAAGTATATGAGCTTCACTGTGCCTATGTAATACTATGATGCTTGACTTTGCACGCCACGCGCATTCAATCACAGCTGTATGTATAGCTACACAATATGTACTATGAGCGCACGGTTTAGCGTTAGTGATATCCCTCGAGTCGATGCACATGCGAATGGATGTAGATTTACTACGTCTCTTACTCCCATTATTCTCTCTCTGCGCCATTATTCCGCGTTTCCAGAAGAGAGAACCATCAAGGGCCCGATATATTTCTCGTGAAAAGTATCCATGTAGTGGAAAAAAGGGGTACATTCATATAAATGCGACAGTACGAAAGAAAAAAGTAACCCCTGAGTTGGTAATATGTATAGCGTACGAGAACGTAACATGTTTCTCTCATATGTATAATATACATGTGATAATAACGTAGACAACGTGTGCTTTGCTTTGCTTGCAGGTCGGATAATAGTGGGCTCGAGCCCCAAGGCGGACATCCAGCTCGACGGCAGTGGGGTCGAGTTCGTCCACTGCATAATCGAGAATGCCAGCGGCTCGGTTACGCTTCACCCCCTCAGCGGGAACACGTGCGTCGACGGTGCGCAGATCGCTGAGCCCGTACGACTCAGCCAAGGTAACGTGTTTGCTCTTACTTACACATATACACACACGTACCGATGCGAAAGGGACAACGTCTGGGTGAGCTTGCAGCCATCCGATTCTTCTCGCGAGCCTTGACTGTAGTTAGTGTCTCGGCGCTCGTTCCCAAGCCAATAGTCAATCTAAGCTTTGCTACCTAGCTTTTGCCGAGCACACGGTTTAAAAGCGCTGAGCTTGCGCTGAAAGCACAAGCCACGAATGATGACCGGCTGTGGTAGGCCACGTTTGTGGCAATACGTATAATGTGTACTTGGGATACATGAGAAGTCCTCCGGAAAATTGTCCCCTCTAGTATCATTTTAGGAGCAATTTTTGAAAGCCCTTTCAACTGTTCTGATTTTGTCTCGCTGAGTAATTTTGGTGATATATTTTTTTAAAAAAAGATTTCAAAAGAAGTTTGTCACATCAGCTCTCCACGATTTTTCTTGTTTATTATACGATATTTTCAACAAACGAAATAAAGCCAGTTTAAAAGTTACCTATACGAATATTATAAACATTTTTAAATTAATTTCTACACCGAGCAACAGAGATTTTTTTCGTGAAATTGCTCACATTCATATCTTAAAAACAGAGATAAACTCAACAATAAGCTTACGTCTCTCTGACCATTCATGTGCAGTAATATGAAACAGCGCCACCTGCACGGGAAGAAGGAGGCGATGCTGGATAACACTAATACAAAGTCTCTTGTGTGCTGCAAACTTTGGTAATTGTTTTTTTGTATTTTTGATGCATTTTCGACACTTGAAGTATCGGTTTTTAGCGTCAATAATTTGTTTTAAACAGATAACGACTATCACTTTATAGTTAAAAAAAATAAATAAAAAAATAATGTATCAAAAAATTATTTTATGCTCCATACAAATTCTTAACATTAAAAATCCAGACTATAAGTATCAAAAATACATTAAAACTATAAAAAATAATTACCAAAGTTTGCAACACACAAGAGACTTTGTATTAGTGTTATCCAGCATCGCCTCCTTCTTCCCGTGCAGGTGGCGCTGTTTCAGATTATTGTTGAATACAAAAAGTTATTGGATTACATATTTTTAACATTATGAGATAACCTAACGGTTGTTATTTTTTTCATACGATGAAATCGTTTATTAAGGCTGTAAACAGCATTTTGAAGGTACGAAGTACAGTTACATATGTTAACCCTACATTGAACTACTCGATTCTGCTGCTGCTGTCGCTGTTGCACCTGATCAGAGGTAAACAAGCATCTTGATGTTAGGTTAAACTGTACTTCGTACCTTTAAAAAGATGTTTTCGGTCTTAATAAACGATTTCATCACGTAAAAAAAATAAGAATCTAAGTCTTACACTGTTAAAAATATGAACTCCGGAAACTTTTTGTGTTCAACACCTTTTCCACCACGAAAAAAAATAAAAACTTAATTTCTCCCATAAGGCCTGTACTACTTTTCCTCTAATTTTCATATGTATATATATCGCCATGTCACGTGGTAGGCATATTCCCAATAGGTACGTGGATGCCTGGGGTGCGTAGGTGTGTTTATATAGAGAGCATATTTGATGAAGACATAAGCGAGGTCGCTTACGAACGACAATGCACACGACTGCCACGTATATTATTTATGCTGTACACTGCTAGGGGACACAAAGGGCCGACGTGCGCGAAGTGCGGCACTGCAAGACGTAGTTTGTATAATAAGATAACTTTCCGCGAGTACGTTACATTTATTTTTTTTTATTTACAAATTCAATTAAGTTGGCCTCTACGTGTGTATGGGTTCGCGCACAAGCATGAAAAAACATAAAATGCGCAAAGTTCGAACGCGCGAGAGCACCTTTTTTCAGGAGAAACTTTTATCGATCGCGGAAAATCTTTACGACGTCGGCACGAGGTTTACGGCTGCATGTACTTACTAGTAGCGAGCGATTTTTTTTTAGAGATTTATCGGGTCAATTGGCAAAGTTGTACTCCCTTCTGCTATACGTGCACGTGGAACTTACCACGACTCGCCGGAAACGCGATTATTCCCCTGAATCGTTTGGGTTTTGTTAGGGTTTGCTTTTGGTCTGAGTGAGGAAGAGGAGAATGCAGGCGGTGGGGGGGGGGTTAAAGTGTGGTGGAAGGGGTGTGGGGCGAACGGCTTGTGGAGTACCGCGAACTGTGATTCATAAACTCTATATTTGTTCTCTAATTGGGTAATTAGGGAAGCTCGGTTGGATGCAATGAGCTTTCGGCTGTTGGCTACGGGTGTGCATGTACGTACCTGTACGTGTGTGAAATAAAATTGTGTACTTTAGTGAATTATATTTGAGGGTAACGAAATCATTCGTAACGAGCATTTTCATGGTAACTGATGGAAAAAAAAAAAATCGTGGATGAATGAAAAGGAAACTTTTTTCGAAATACAAATCGTTAGTAAAATTTTTTCATAGAATCACGAAAAATAATTTCTTGCAAGTAGACTGCAACGTATAATGTTTTAATTGAACAGCTGATTGGATTACGTTTGACTATCAGATACTAATGTACCACGTGTATGGCATATGTCATAATGTAACTGCAGTATCGTGATGACTGTAAATACAACTTAACTTCAGGAAGTTTAGAGTTTTAAGCTTCAGAAGTATGTTTTCTTAAAAAGATTTATACTAATAAATTTTTCTATTCGGTCTCCATTTTATCAAATATTTTTTTTAACCTTCAACTAGCTACATTTTTATAGAAAGATATATCTTTTCTTATACAAAACGACTGTTACTTAAATAAAAACTTATTTCTATAGTTTTTCATAATTATTTGATTCACAATATTCTTATATTTATTTATTGGAAAACATTTATGGTTGTTACTTAATGACACAAAAAATTCCTGCTAAATTCAAATAAAAAAAAGTTAAAAACAAAAATTCGTTTATTGAGAAAAAAACAACTGCGAATCAATTAACACAAAGCTTCCTAAAGACCTATATTCTTCTATTTTTTAATACTTTTTTTTAATACTTTTGCAATTCTTCTTTTTAATTCTTCGTATCTACTCAGCTAGACTTTTTATTTATCGCAATTCAAATTAAAGTCGGAGAATCGATGTCCGTTTACTGCGAAGTACTAAATCTTGACGTTTTTTCCATTACAAAGAAGAAAAAACGAAACTATGAATCATCATATTGGTTCCTGAGATAGATATCTAACTGATTTTTCAAACAATTATAGCGTACTTCGTAAGAAAAAACTCATAAACTAATAAAAAGAAGACGAAAAATGAAGCTTTTATGCTTTTTAATATTGGGGAGTTTAGAACATCAAACTGTAATTTTTCACCCAAAACTAATCCCCACTAAATCTACCTTTTGAAACTCAATGAGGTAAAATAAAAAAACACTCTTAGTTTTCGACCTAACCCGATAAAAAAGCTCGATATTTGTCACCACGTGCAATAAGTCCCACTTTTTTCTTGTTTAGGTTGCATGCTGACGATAGGCCGATCGAACTATCTGCGCTTCAACCATCCAGCCGAGGCCAAGCACTTAAAGTCAGTCCTTCCGTCGAATACTCGTCCCGCAATCACACCCACAACCTTCACAAATGGCTACCACGAGTCAACGCAACAACAGCAGCACTATCACAACTACAACCAGTCGGATCATCGCAAGCCACCGGTGGTACCGCGCAAATCGCCCCGCAACTCCAACTGCTCCGACGAGGAAGTCAATTTCCTGGGCAAGCTCAACAAGTTCGAGATGCTGTCCCGGCAGACGCGTACCAACTGCGTCTCGCCCAAGGTTTTCCCCCCGGGTAGTCTGACCACCAACGTGCCGGCTGATCAGATTTTGGGGCACTCGAGGTCGTCCAGTCTCGCGTCCCTCGGGCGAAGCAGTACCTCCAGTCCCTTCCAGAATCTCACGAATTTCGACAGGTACCAGAATAACGACGAGCCGAAAATGGTGAGTATGAAATAGCACATTACGCAATGAGTGCGTAAAGTTGGTGATTCTCGCACGTGTGTGTTGATTTCGTTGTTCGAGCCGTACAATTATACACTTTTGATGCTTTTTACGCATATAAGTGCAGAAATATAATCATGCACGTAGTGATGATTCCACACAGTAGTGCGAAAAAAGCTACTTTGTGCACGGTTCTAGGTGTAGGGCACGAGAAATTGAACTTTGCTAACTAACAGTTAAAATTCGTACGTCACGCAACAAGTGTGCGAGAATACGATGATCCCACGTAAGTATACAAGTCTAAATGCTCACATGTATACCAGTATGGACATCATTGTCCTTTTGCTATAGTGATGATGTAAATATAAATAGTATACATTGTAAAAAGTGCACGAATCGGGTAAGCTTTTTTTGCCACTTATTGTACGAAGATTTCAACTTTGAGTACCTTTATCGTATATTAGTGTAAAAAGATTGACGTGAAAAATCGTTACTTTTCGTACTAGTGCGCAAAACTCTGCTTCGCAAATGGTGCCGGAATCGGGCGATTTCAATAAGCATAAGAAATTAAACTTCATACATCGCGTATCAAAAAACAGCGAGACTCGTGCAATAATCATCACTTTTTTTAAGTTACTTTTTAGCTATACTCTATTCTAAAATTTAAAAAACCTATGATCGATAAACGTTTGTCCGACACGACATTTTCTCGAATCAACAGTGCAGCTTACCAGTGACGATAAACCGCAACCACTCGCCAAGCCAGAACTCCATTTACGCGAACATTGGCTCGCAGAGCACACGAAACTCGAACAATGACAACGACAGCCAGTACTCGCGCAGCTGGCAGCAGCAGCTCTTGTCCAACCAGCACCACGACCAAGGACGAACAGACTCGCAGGAGCTGATCCTCGACAACGAGAACCGCAACAACAACGTCCTGTCCAACGGCAACGGGTATTCGTCGAGCGACCATCAGCTGATGTCGCAGAGCCTAATCTGTGAGAGCAGCAGCGACTTTGACCACTTCAATCGGGACTTTGACATGAGCCAAAGTCTGATCGTGAGGAAGAAGACGACCACGACCGAGTTCCTGCAGCTCGAGAAGTTTGGCTCGAACCCCAGCTTACCCTGCCATCGCAGGACGAGCTCGTACGACTCGCGTAATTCCCAGTGAGTATTTATCCCTCGTCCCACCCCTTGGAAATTGCCATCCGATGTCTCATCGGCACTTTTGTCCTTTCCACGCAGGGACTTTTGCTCGCAGCCCAACATCAGACGGATACAGCCACCTTCGCCGGCCTACAACCGCGACCCAAAGTACACCGACTCCAAATCGCTCTACGGCCGAATCAATCACCCCATGGGTCAACAACAACAGCAGTATCAAGCCATGAGCAATCACAACAGCAGTTCGTCATCCTTGCAGGGCGAGCTGCACCAGCGACAGATCCAGGACAGCCGGCAGCGCGACCGGGAGCTCGAGAAGGTGGGCCTCGAGGAGATCTTAGCCATGTGTGCCGAATACGAGAGAAAGAGCAGCGGGACGGCCGACTACCAGCAGCAAAACCGGTACGAGGGGGGAGGATAGGACGAGAGTTTGCGGTTTGCGATAGGGGGAGGGGAATCTGGTTTTGCGGTTGCGCGGCAAACGGACAGGCACCGCTAGCAGTTTGCTGGTCAGGGGATTTTTGATTTTTTTCCTCCCTGGTTCCCGTTGGTCGATTAGGCTCTCTGGTGTGTGCGGATGACCGATGCCGGGCTCAAAGTGCCCCCTGTCGCGTTAGTCATCTGGGCTTTACGACTACGCCTGCATGGACGGGCATTAGGGAAGCGAAGAAGGAAGGCCTTTGAATAATACGGATTGCGGTGAGGTTTTCACACTTTTTCTCCAAAGTAAGTATGCCCAAATGACGCTTCCACCGTTAGATTTTATGCTCCGAGGTGGTTTACGGGAAAGCTGTAGAGCGCCCGTTTTACTTCCTGAGGTTGTTGAACGACCGACTCTAGAGTTGATGGATGCTTATTGAGTCTCGGCCACGTTTGATTGACATAAATGCAATTGTCTGAGTTTTTTTCTTTTATTGACTTATTATTGAGAAATAGCAATTTATTGGATTTTATGTAGACGCAGTGGTAATATAAAAGAATTTGGGATCAAGCCTTGATTTTTTTGATTGTCATTATCTTATAAGCCATTTAGCAGGCATACGGATCAAGATAGGCTCAAAATTTCCTGAACTTTTTACTTACTGATATTTCCTCTCATTCTCTCATTTTCAACAATTAGGTATATATTTATGCTAAATTCTTTTAATATAATGAATAAGTTTCCGCACACTATTCAGTTTTTACATTCCATCTTTTTGTTTCATGTGCTATTGAAGAATTGTAACCAATTCCTTGATTGTTTATTTGAAAATAACTCTAATGCTAGCAGTGATTTCTCAATTAAGAATACTAATGGTTTTGTCATTCTCTTTGGCATTTTATCTTCAGTAGAACACCAGTCCTCTCTTATCTTCAATACAACCGATTATTTTTTTTCACAAGGTACATTAGTACACCAATTGACGAGCATCTCATTTTTCCCGCTTTGATTTCGAGATTGTCAATGGCACTTTTTACCACTCGTTAAGCAGACTACGAACAAAAAGTCTCGTTAACGTTTCAAACAACGACCGTTGAGGCAGCAAAAACCCTCCGCTCTCCTCGTCAATCAATCAAACAGCCGGTGAAAGGAGAAAAACCATACTCCCAAACGTCAACGCGTAACTGAAAAAATAAATAAAAAGTCAATTTTAACGTAAAAACTGTGCAATCCTCTGAATTTTAGAACAACACCTACAATGAACGGCACACTCGCTCACCAGGAAAAACGACCGTACCACTCGAGTCCCAGAGCCAAAAGTCCGGAGGCACCGGCTGCTCACCACCACCAGCAGCAGCAGCAATTCCACTACCAGCAAATCGGCTCGAGTCATCAAACGTTGCCGCCAACTTACGAGAACGTCACACCTTCAGCAGTGGACCAACAGCAGGTTGTCCCGCCCAACAACAATCGGCCCGATCAGAATGGCTACTCAACGCCACCACCATGCAACCAGCACCGGCAGCAGGACTCGCGGAATTCCAGCTACGAAGAGATCGAGAGCCTGGCAGAGGAAGAGCGGGCAGACCGCGAGAAGCCGAGGCTGGAGGAGACGGGCGTGGCTAATGGTGAGAGGTTACTTTTATTTTGTTTTAAATCCATGGGTGGGTGATTATCACGTCATTGAGGGTAGGATTTTTGTCGGGTTGAAGGTTGGTGGTTTTATCGGTGGTTTGATTTTTAAATTGACAATTTTTTAAATCACTTTTTTTCTATGAAATCGTGGCTGCCAGCTTTTTCTCTGTAACGATTTTAAAGAAGATACTTTCCAGGCTTTGAAATAGCTAATTAATATTAATAATTGTGTAATGTGCAGTTTTCTCAAAAATTGGAGTACGACTGCATTTTCCAGAGATTTCAGCGTACCTCGGTGCTTCGTAGCATCATCCATAAAATATCTGTTTTTTCCAACAGTAGTAATAGCTATTTTTTCCCCGATAATATTAAAATAGCTATTTTTGGAGCACCTATCTGGCGATTAATAGACAAAGCTAAATTAATAACTTTAGAGTCCTAAAAAGCGCTAAGACTAAATTGCTTCGTAAAAAGCGCTCATTCAAAATTGCATTAAAAAAAAAAGCCAACTCAGATTCAGGTTGAAGAAAGCGCTAACTTGAACGTATGTCATTTTAATTAAGTTTTGTAGTGGCAACATTGATTGTCTTGTGTTATACTTTGAAATTAAATTCATCGTAATAGGAACTATCCGCAAACTTTTTACTCAAGTTTGGGATTTTCTCATTGCCCAAGCTTGGCCAAAGTTTCGCCAAACATAACTTTTGCGCAAGTTTGGCCAAACTTAAAATTTTTACGCGGGTGATGATTAAGTTATTCGTCTATTACAATTGTCGTGTTGACTAGAAACATGTGCTTTTTCAAGTTTTTTTTTACCCCTCATAAGATAGAACAGCCAGTTCTACCACCAAAAAATTGAAGAAAAGAAAAAACCTTTGAGTTTGAGCTAAATTAAAGTACCGCAATCCTATCAATCTCGAAACAGCGCTTTTACCTTGCTGGTTTTCCAACATCGCTTTCCCGCGGCCTTCTTAGTTTACCTACACAACGCATTAAAAACACCAGTTGATCAAACGCAAACGAAGAACGCGTTCAAAAGACTTACCCTCACGTTTCTCGCGGTCAAGCTCCGAAGAGGAATCGATTCACCTACCACCACGTGGTTCACCCTCAAAGTTCCTAAAACAACTAATAATCATCAGACATGCGCAGACGTCTCTTTGATGAGCGGAGTACACGAGCAGCGAGCGCGTGATTAGATTACCTTCTCGGTCCCGCGGAACTTCATTAATCCCCCGTGGCGCGTAATTCGATGCCCGAGCTCAGCGTCAGCCGGCGCCTAACTCACTGTCTCTCGCGGCTTGATTTTATGTTACGCTGTATACGACCACACGTGTGTATTATGCGCAGGCACCCACCCACACGACGAGACCACTGGGTCAAACTCGTCACCAACGAGCACGACGACGACGACGAGTCCACCTCTGCCCGAGAAAAACGTGAAACTCTCCGTGCACCACTACGAAAACTTTGTGCCGTTGAACGGCAACCTCCTCAGCGTTTACGAAAACGTCAACAACAACAACAACAACAACAACAATAACAACATCATCAACAATAACAACAACAATAACAACAATGGCATAGGCAGTGAAGCGAGGACGAAGCGCAGCAAGCCAGCTCGGCGCCAGCAGGTGGTTGAGGATAAGCTCGACGTATCGAACGACGACCTGCTCGAGGCGATAGAACAGCTGTCGATGCTCTCGAAGCCGAGGCGCTCCTTTGGCACGGAGACGGAGGTAGCGGCAGTGGCACAGACGACGACGACGACGACGACGACTCCGCAGGTGATGCCGAAAAAGGTCCAGGCCAGCGAGAAGAAGAGGGAGCTCGAGGACGAGGACCGGAGGAGGTACGTCGAGTTCCTGCAAAACGAGAAGCTGCACATACTCAGCAACATGGACATCTACAAGAGGAGCGTCGCCGAAATCGAGAACCAGGAGGAGGAGATCAATCGAGAGGTATGCATATACATGTTAATACACGAGTGGAGAAAGAAGCTCTCGCTTTTTTTTCCCCAACCACCTGGTGGAAGAAGTGACTTTGATGAACTTATATTGGCTCGACTATTCGCTTTGTGCAGCGATTCCAAATACCTTCAGGGAAAAATGTCACTAACTAACAATAATACACCACCTCTTATGGACAATGATCTCTTAAAAGTGTTTATTTCAACAATAATGTATCTTTGAATCTTACACAACTTAGGTATGTAATTCCTTTGAGTGTCAAGTATATACATCCGAACTGAAAAAAATCCCTCGAAAAATCCACAACTAAGTATCGCAGTTTTCCTCGAGTATCGATTTATTTCGTGAAGTACTTTTAAATTAGCACATTAAAAAGTAATATTTATCATGCTCATTCATACGTTACATCCATTTCATACGAGAAATTTACTTTTTAGGCACGACTGATACTCAGGAGTGTCTTATATTTTTGCCAGAGCAAAAGGTGTAAGTACCTTTAAAACTTATTGTTTTTGTGTAAAAAAAGTTTTGGTACAAAAAAAATTGCGATCGCGGACCTCAGCGTCAGGGGTGTATGTATGTATGTATGTATGTATGGGCGTAATCAAGTTTTTTTATTAACTCATGCAATTTTTGTCGGATTGGGCTGAAATTTGACAAATAGCTTCGTCTTTTATGTCTTACGTAATGGTTTAAAATTCGTAAGATTTCCTTTTTTTAAAAAAATGGCAGTCGTTTTAAGATGGTACTTTTAGTGAAAAAAATAGTTTTTCGGCTATTACTATATAACGTCATATTTTCGAGGTTTGCTGTGAAAGACAAAGTTGTAGATATACTTAAAATATAACTTTTTCGTGTTTAAAATTTTTGTCCAGGATGTAACTGAAACGTTCTGTGAGCCCAAAAGTGCTCAAAAATCGCCAAGACGTAGTTTTTCCCTATCTAACTTATTTGTTTTGTTCTTTAAATTATGATATTAAACGTTTAAATTGTAGATCTTATTGAAATCCAACTTTTTTGTTTTGTACTTGAGATGATAAATTAAACATGATAGTTGAAGGTCTTGTCGAAATACAACTTTTTTGTACTTAACATATTTAGTTATAATATTCAATTTGTGCTCTAAATCGCAAAAATACCGAAAAATTGTAAATTCATCGTTTTCCCCTATCTAACTTACTCGTTTTTTTTAATTTACATTTCAGATTACAAAGTTAATGTAAAACTCATAGATCTTGAAAAAATACAACTTTTTTGTAACTAAAATTTATGCCTGTAATATAAAATTAACGCAATAAATCGCTAAAAACGATACAATACTAGCTTGTTCAGAATAAATACGATTAACACTCAATGCAAAGTTAAGGGCGATAAGAATTGTGTTTTAAGGCTTTCTTTTTTCCATGCCGTGGGAATGTGTACATTTTTTTACCAACACTACACCAAACAATACCAACTTTTTACACAGTGTGGTAATAACAGTAATATATTCCCTCGTATTAGTCGAGCCTTAAATGCAAAAACGCAGTTTTTGCATAAATTTAGCCGCTTGTTTTTAATGACATTATAGAAAAAGCATTTTTGGCTATCAACATGGTACTTGGGACTGATGAAACTTATTTTAGTTGTCAAAGATACGTTATTGTTGAAATAAACAGTTGCAAAAGATTACTGTTCATAAAGGGATGTGCATTCTTGTTAGTTGGTATCGATATCTTTTCCCCTGCAGGTGGCGTTGTTTCAAATTGCTGCACGAAGCGAATAATAAAATGTGAATTGTTTTAAGTGAAGCTTAAGAACAAACGATTGTTTTTTTTTTGCGTGACACTGCGTGGCAAAATTTTCAAAATAGCTGATAAAATTAATGTGAAATAGGAATCCTTACCTTTCGAGATAATTAGAGAAAAAACATTAATTGAGTATAATAAAAAGCGAGAGTAACGAAGGATTTTTATCGGATTACGACCACCTGGCAAAAAATAATGCATTGCGAAGTTGGATACAAATTTGTCGTAGTAAAGCTTTCTTCGGCTAGAAACAATGAGAAAAAAAAAAAAATGCTGTCAATTCTATACAGCTGGAGCTCGAAAAAGCGCTGCTGTCAGCCGAGCACGAGTCCGAGGGCCTAAAGCTCGAGCAGGACGAGCTCGAGCGGGCCCGGGTCGAGGGGGCCGTGGCCGAGCTGGACCGCGAGATGTCGGTGAGCGGCGGGGCCCAGTCGAAGATGCAGGCCGAGGCGAAGCAGCGGGTGCACGCGGCGCAGCAGGCCTGCGCCAGGCTTGAGGAGGAGCTCGCGGACGCCAAGGGGAGGGACGACGAGAGGGACAGCGAGCTGGCCGACAGGCTGGCCGCGCAGGCCGACACCCTCGAGACCGAGAAGAAGGCCTTCGAGGACCTGGAGTTTCACCACCTCGAGGAGGAGGCCAGCAGGCTGGCTTCTCGGGAGGAGTTGCAGAGGTGGGTGGGGATTCGAGGGGAAAGAGGGGGGAAAATGCGAGAAGATTGATTGGTCTTGTTCCGTAGATATCACGGGGAATTGTTGACGAGGATCGAAGGTAGGAAGAAGCAGCTCGATCAGTTGCAAGCCCAACGAACCGACATCAAAAATTCAGTCACGAAGGAAGCCAAGAGCCTCGAAAGGCGGAAGCTGGCGTATCTACGTAGATTGGAGGAGGTGAGACTGTTTTTTTTTCCTACTTATTTGTTGGTATTCGCGGTGTACTGACTAATCTGATCACGCAGAGAGGTGCAGGTAGCGTTAAATTAAAAAAAAAAAAAAGTATCAGAAAAAATTAAACCGAGTAAAATGGAAAAAACTTTTTTAAAGTATGTGGTTATATAATTCATTATGAGAAATACGATGAAATTCAATGTGCTTGAAAGAAGGTGTACTAAGTAGTTAGTAAAAAAAAAGAATCTGAAAGAAGTGCATTGAACCCAAGAACTTTAGGTTCGAAAGCAAAAGTTTTACCGCAGAGCCATTGACTATAAGGATTAGTTGGGAGATATTGTGAAATGTACTTTATAGGGGCCCCTCCATAAGCTTTTGACATGCATGTTGAGAAAAATGAATGTACAACTTCTTATTATGGTTTCATTATCGATATTTTATTAATTAATTGTAGTTTAAACGTGTTTTCAAATAGTTTCGCATCGAAAATAAGTAATATATAAGATACTGATAAATAGGCATTTTGCCGTGCTGCTCGAAAGGTAATAGTTATCGGCATCTATGGGTTAGTTACCCGGTTTCCCCCCGACACTAACGCTGCCTGCCTTATGGGGGGCAGAACTAAAATATACAGAGAAAATACTGCGGACGCGAAAACGGCCGATCTGGCCTTCTATACAAGAAGAGTATATTCTACATTCTCTGATTTGGGGCTCAGGAATATATATTTAACTGAAATATTAACCAAGAATGAAAGTAGATCGATTTGCGAACAGTTTGTCTTACTAGACAAAAAAACAATATGACCTGCATATACATACAGGTCGAGAGATCTTATCAAATAACTATTGCACTCGTTTCAATGTATCAGACCTTGAGATGGATAATTTTTTCGTGAAAGTATTTGTAAATTATTGCAGTTTACTGTTGTTATTGTCATTGTAATATTTGCTTCTCTAATTCCTAATAATCATTTCATTGAATAAAATATGGTAGCAGAGTCAAGAAACGAAATAAAAAAAGTATATTTAACTTTAGGGAATAACCAAACAATTCGTACTTATGCTAGACTACAATTTTTACCAAACTACTTTCCCTCTAAAAAAAAGTCACTTCGGTAAAGCGTAGATCGCAACTAAAAAAAGTCGTTCCTCTGAAAACCGCCATTTGACTGGTTTGTTTTTTTTTTTCAAACAAAAAAAACAGGGTCGCAATCGATTGCGTGCCATCGAGGACGAGCTCGAGAGCCTGGCTAAAAACACGCCGGCCGATAATCTCGATGACAAACGCTCGCCCAGCCGGGAGGACTACGATCGGATATCGAGGGTCACCAACGACTCGCCGATCGTTAATAATCAGGGCATCCTCGGCAGGAAGACCATCGAGGAAATCGAGCGGAATCGCCAGCTGCATTTGGCCAAACAGGGTAAGCTCATTCTCTTCCGATGCACGCATGTGTGGATTGAAAAAAAAAACTTTTTTTTTGTACAATATGGGTGTTATTATTTTGTGGTGGATGAGCCGACTAGTATATGTACCTTGTTGAAACTACATCACGAGCCTGGTCAAACTGTGGCACGATTATTTTATACGTTTTCAAGCACTTTGGGATTACATTTTATCCAGAAATGTAACGCACTATTTGGGACGGAAAATTTTATTAATTCTAAATACCCATTCACATTATAATGCTGAGAAAAATCATTTCTGTCAGATAAGTGTGATACAAATTTAAAAAATAAAGCATTTGGTTGAATATTTAATACATTTTTTTTCTCAATTCTTTTCTCTCTCAAAATATAATGCAGTACCGTTGCTGGAAGAAACTTTGCTAAGCACTGTTTGAAACTAATAAATTTAGTAATGAAAAAAACAGGAATAATGGATTGTAGTTTTGGAGAGAAAAAAAATTATATCACAAGGTATATTTGAAGAAATATTAGAAGAGGTGAGATTCCAAAAAAATTTCAAGTAAAATATCATCGACAATTAATTTTATGTAGTTAATTTGAACAACTTTTAACTTGAGATAACTAAAGATTATTCGGATCATTCTGAGCAAAAAATATCTTTTATGATTTTTCGTAAAATACTGGAGTAATTAAAAATGTAACTCATTATTTTGTGCAAAATCAAAACATTTAACAAATACATTACTGTGGAAAATTCTTTTTTTTACTTGAAATAAGCCAAAGAAATTTAACAATTTACTCGGCACTTTTTCGGACTCTCACCCTAAAAACTCGTTCTCCGTAGATCGAAAAAGACACGTAAAAAGGCTACATATACCTGGTGCTGGAACTATTGCACCCAAGTAAGAGTAATGTGCCAAGTCTCATTTTTCTCAAATAATATACGAGTAATGAAGCACCTTGAAAAGAAAAATCTATGAATGTAAAAAATTACCTAATCCCGAAATGGACAAAGATGTTCATTAGTTAAAAAAACAGAAATAATGATGGCACTTGGATGAAAATGTACAAGAATAAAACTCGCGTCACGTTGGTGCAATAAACGCGAATTCGTGTAACGGTGGATGAAAAAAATGGCGTTAACGATGTTTGATTTCACGAAAATTGCGCAGGCAGAGAAGTAATTCTAGAAGAGCGGCGCAGAGTCGAGGAGCTGATGAGACGAGTCCAGGACGAAGTTCGCTCCCAGTGGGAGGAGAGAAAAATGAACTGCGCGTCCTTCAACAGCGTGGAGTCGGGGGAGGAGTCGTCGAGTTACTCGACCGGACCGACGGAGAGGTAATTGCACATTTTCTGTAAATCCGACGAGTGAATCATCTTCTCATCCCTACCTTTCTTTCATCACCCTACACACGTATATACTCGAAGCCTGCAGCTTTTAGCTGGTATTAAAATGACTCCTAGAGCTTCCATATTTTTTTTCACGCTACGCGCATTTCAATGAGAATGGATCGATACAGGTACGGCGAGGTAATAACTCCGAGGAAATAAATTCACTCCCCACAGAAAAGCTCCCTCGCGATAACAATGACGATGAATACAAGCACCATGGCCATTTCATTCTTTCTTTTCTTTCGAGCTCTTACGAAGACTGCAGCTGCATCTTTGAAATGAATCACCCTTAAGTGAGCGAAATTAAGTCCTTCCGGGAGAGCTTCGGGGAATGCACGTGGTGTCACAAGCTTCGAAAAAACCGCGAGTCGCCCTCAACCATTTTTCATGCGACTGAAAATAATCCAGGCGAGTGTCGATCTGGTGGACGTGAATGCAAAGTAAATTCAAACCTTCCAAGACTTGAAATTACTTGTTATTAAATTGTAGAAGCTACACCTAGTCAGTCCAGCGGACAATATCGTTCTCTATCCATCTTAAAGTTTACGACTCACGTATACCTATATACATGCGTGGATCGACGATAAGCCGGAAAGATATCAGATAAACCCCCCCGTGACTCACTGTCGTCCGACTTTAGGTTCATTGGCTGCGGGTTGTAGGACCAGGTCAACACCCTATACACCTATATGTGTATACCTACTCGCGAAACACACGTTCCCACGCTCCAGTGCTGCGAAAACCCCGTCCTGACATATATATATATAGAGCTCGCAATATCCATCACGTAACCAACTCCGAACACGATTTTTAACAAAAAAAAAAATAATAAATAATCCCCAATCTCTATTCAGGGCGAAACAATGCAAATCCTCCCCAATAAAGTATGAGCTCCCTTGGGTTCCTCCTCTTCCCTCGAATCCTTCTATTCGCACCGTCTTCGTATTATGTACACGCGGTACAAGGAGGTACGAAAAAAACCGGACGAAACTCCCTTAGATACGTATATACAAGCTATGTTTACACGACCGTCGTGCTTTTGTAATAACGCAATCGCGAAAGTGAAAGAGACAGCGGGAGATGACGGCGACGGAGGGAAGGAGCGAAGAGAGAATAAACACGAGAGTAAAAAGCAAAACACGACCCATAGGTAGTGCTATCGTACAGTACGTAATATTACTCGCGTAGGTACTTACGTATAGTACCTATAAATGGCACGCATATACACTGCAACGCGAGAGAAAAAATCTAGGTTCGCTCGCGCGCGAAATATACCGGTTTTTACGCTCTCGACTCTCTCTAGCGCTGCAATGAGCCGCGTCCGCCTTCTTCCACCTATATATACAATACATATGTCACAAGTATACGAGTGTCGAGCAGCTTGGCGACAGTTTGTAAGTATACTTATTGTACAGTTGTCAATTCGACGTACGCGTACGTGTACCTATACGCAATAAAACGCCCGTTGAAAATAAGCGATAACGCGAGTGAGCGGCCGGTAGGGCGCTGATAAGGAAGTCGTCGGCGCGCCGATAAGCCCGGGTTACACGCAGCGCTTTCGAATATTCGGTCTCTCTGTGCTTTTGACAATACACATAATATATGTACCTGTGTACGTATAAGCTGTGGGTGTTGTCTCTCTTTTTTATCCCATCACGATGCGGCGCGAGTTAGGTGTGTCTCCTCTCTTCTTCCGCGAGCGATATCGGCACATACATATGTATACAACTGCGCCGGTTCGCGCGTACACGCACGGGTGTAATCTCGCTGGACTAGTTAGAGAGCGGCTTTTGTGTGATTCTGATCGCCAATGTAACGGGTATAGAGGAGGAGGGCTATAGAGGAGTGCTCGCGCGAGCCGACACCTTCATTGCCGCATTGGCCGGCGAGTGCGTGCGATCGGGGATTTCGCAGTGCTGTCCGTCATTATTCGCTCTTTTAATCCTTTTTTGGTGTTTTGGATTTTCACCATCGTTCGGCTGTGATTTTTTTTTTGATTCGGTATTACAGAGTGCGCAACGTGCTATTACGTCTTTTTCGCTGATGATGTGCCTTGGTGCACGCGCGGTGCGCTTGAGTGGCGTTGGTATACGTTTATGAGTTCGAGATTCATCTGATCTGTCCTGTGATTGTGTACCAGCCGGTCGAAGGTATATACTCACATCCGGGAAAAGTATCTGAGCTCCGGAAACGAGACCCGCAGAGACGAATAAGGAATACCTTTTCACCGCTCCGGTCTCCGTCTCATCACCCGCTTCTCGCGGATATACTCGGATAGTGATCGTAAAAAACAAAAAAGAAAAATCACAAGAGCACGGCAAATAGAGGGCCGTCGAACGACAATGTAGAGTCCGAGGGGGGGCAAAGGTTCCGTCGAGAGTAGCGCGGCGTGTGTGCGGTAGACGGAGGTAAGTATAGGCGCGGGGACCGGATGAGCGTACATTCGCGTGCGGAATAGGCGCGAGGGAAGAAGGGAGGACGGATGAGTGGACGCGGTGGACGGGCTGTCCTCGGGGCGATGCGGAGAGCGCGCAGTGCCGGTTGTGGCGCGATAACCCTCGTCACGAGCAGCAAGTGCTACATGGCGAGCAAGGACTGGCTATCCGGGACCTGCTGCTGTCGGCAACGACCGGCTAGGTATACAACCTTGTCTCTCTCCCTGCGTGTGTCTTTGAATTTTAAATCGTGACAGTTTCACGGACGTGCGAGTGCACAAGTGGGTGAAATCGTGCAACATATATTTCATTTCATTCTCTAAAGGAGTAGCAATTACACTGTTTTATTATTACATTTATCGAGAGATCATAGTTAATTTGTGACGAAGAAAAATAATTATACTTTAATTTCAACAATTGCAACATTTATTTCATCGCTTTTATGAAATGGTTAATAAAAAATTATGGAAACTGTATTTTACGGTAAAAAAACGATATCATTCGAGTACTGAACACTACCTTGGCATTTTTATATTAAAGTGTTATAAAAATTCACGTAATAATAAACTGTAGTGACATTTTTTAGTCGTACTGAATACCAAAGTTTAATAGTGCCAGAAATTATTATTTTAATTATCATCCTGCGGAATAGCGTTAACTCTCGTGAGATGGATACCACTCCATTAGCAAGTATATAGATAGAGATTCACGGTATTTAAGGAATTTCAAGTACACATCAAGATTTTTTTTAAATTCTAGTTTAAGTGAAACAATTGAAATAAAAAAAAATAATTGTAAATTTTTAGCTTATAACGACCTGATTTTTGAGCTTCTACATTTTCAAATAAAAGTATTTTTAATAGTTGTGTAAATAAAACAAGTATATTGTTAAAAACACAATATTCCCAATTAATGATTAGTATCACTAAAACCCATAATCAATATATTTACAATTGATGATTAATTTCAATCACTTCGATCAAATTACTCTATTTTATGATTTTTCTTAAATAATGAAAACGCACTGGTATACATTGAGATAATCGCAAACAGTTTCATGTTGTTACTTGTTATATTAAATTTTTTTTTAAATTTAAATACAGTTTTATGATGGACAAAAAATTGTTTTCTCAAATACATTGTTAATAATAATGTTTCAAACACTAACTACGATCATAAAATNATTTTAGGGTACCTTAGTAATCTTCTCTTTTGACACATACGTAACTTACAGCATATTTATAATCTCGATAACTTTTTTTCGCAGAGCTACAATTAAAGGAATAACTAAAGGTTTATCAAAGATAACACAATAAATCTTAATATATTTATTTACACAGCACTTTTTAGTCTTCGTTCTTATAATAAATTGAAATGAACATCATTATCAATTAAGTTTAAAATCATTTCCTCATTAAATACCGGAAAATTTCTTGAGTCATTTTTAGTAAAACTGCGAGTAAAATTGGTTTCTTACTTATAAGCTATCGTGTTATGTATATAGATAATGATATAATAATAATATATTATATAATGATATAATAATATTAGGTTAAATAGTTTAACGGTATGATCTTTATTTTCGTACTAAGTGCCAATAGTGCAGGAGCCAGGTGGGTTCCCGTGGCCTTTTCGATTAAAATAGTCCCACCCAAGTTTTTTTTATATATTTTGACCTGCTGAACACAATTTTCGATGGTGGCTTGCTGTAAAATTTGCACATCAATAGTTATTAACAAATTTTATAAACAAATTCAAGAATTATAAAATTTCGGTGAAAAAAATGTATTCGTATTCTTTGGCACATTTTTGGCAAAAAATATTGCTAGCAATTTTTCTTTAAACAATATACTTTTTTAGTAAAAAATTCGCCAACTTTTGAAAAATTTGACTTTGCGATTTTCAACCGTTAATATTTCGATTGTTAAAAAACTTTCTGCAACTCTGCAAGGCGTTGAAATTTCTTTAAACATTGCACTTTAAGAATACGTAAACTTCAGACTGGTAAAAAAAAATTTGTCTCTCAATAATTAGCTTTGAATCGCGAGCTTCTTGCTATGCTACCCATGGTCTGCATACGTNTTTTTAAATTTAAATACAGTTTTATGATGGACAAAAAATTGTTTTCTCAAATACATTGTTAATAATAATGTTTCAAACACTAACTACGATCATAAAATATTATGTTTGACTCCACTTTCAAACCGTAATTTTCTTTGAAAAAAAGGTTGTCCAGTTGCGTACTTTAAACTTTGAAACAGCGGTTCTTTAAAAGTATTTCAAATTTAGAAAGCCGAGAGTATAAGAAACTCGAGGCTCCCATTGGGAAATGCAGCTCCGACACCTGACAGTCGTACACAAGCCTTGTACATTTTTTCCATACGGCTAATGGATCACCCACGCCTATGCGCATATACAACGATATCGTTCATAATCGCGTAAATTGAAACCGATGAATATTAATGGCTCGAGAAACCGTACACGGACACCTAAAGCTGCAATTCCATTGTTAGCGCTAGGCTGTGCCACCTATACATGTATTATATGTATACTTGAAATGGACACATGGAATTCAAAACAATCCGAGGCCGAGCGCGGGGGCAATGAAAAAAAAAAAAAAAAGAAAATCATAAATCCATAAAACCACGAGATTTCTACACTCGAGACGGCGATTTCAAGTGACCTCTGCAAATGGACGACGCACTGAGATTAGCTTGACGCGTTTTTTTTTTTTTTTTCTACTGTTCCAGTGGCAGCGGAAGCAGCGACGGCGCTGATAATGGCACAGGTGAAAAATCACCGCCCGGCAAGCTCTGCCCGGAATTCGCCTCGCCCAGCCCCGGGCCCTCGGGTGACTCTTACACGCTACTGCAGTCCGACAGCGTAAGGATTAATATTTTTTTTTTCATACGACCCAAACACGCGTGAGTGCGGCTAAGTTGTGTTTTATCGAAATAAAGGAAAATGGGTTTTGCCCGCAGACGAGGGACGATAGGCCTACGTCCATGGAGAACGGCAGTGGGAGCGGGATCGCCGACGAGACCGAGAGCCGGCCCCTCTCGCAGACCTCGAGCGAGCTTGACTCCATCAGTCCCCTCCCGGTCAAGCATCGCAACGCTAAGCCTCGACTGCAGGTGGGTGTGCTTATGTAGTTACATTTTTTCGCGTATTGCGATATTGGTGATAATTTTTTTTTTTTTCATCCAATACCCACACGCACTTTTTCTGTAAGTATTATGCATCCAGAAATGGTCACAAAAGTGTCATCGCCTCCGGGGCCACTTTGCTACCTAAGGGACCGTAAGGTAGCCCCGGATGTATGACACTTGTGTGCCGAACACTGTGTGTCAATGAAAAAAATAAGTTAAAAGCAAAAAAGGTGCGTTAAATTGTTTGAAAAAATATTTCAAAAGAAAAGATCGGTAGTCGCGAGGAGGACAAAAAAAGTGTCGATAGCGCTGCAATATTTTAAAATATGTCCTTGAGCTGCATTTGATCGATAAATATGCATAAAAGTTCTTCCTCAACGAAGGTTCCTAACAAAATTTTACCATTCCAGAGACCTCTGACGAGATACTTGCCTATAAGGTCGGAGTCCCTGAATTTGAGACACCACATCGAGACGGCGGGCCACCACTTGCAGCTGATTCACGACGTCACCGTGGACACGACGACTTGCAGCGGCTATTTGTCGAAGATGAGCAAAAAGTTCCATCACTGGAACAAACGATGGTTCGTCTTCGACAGGAAACGCAAAACGCTGACCTACTACGGCGACAGCAATTCGAGGAAACCCAGGGGTGTTATATACTTTCAGGTATTACCTATACACGAGGACGTTGTCTTTTTCGTACTATTCAGTATGATCGCTTAGTACACATAAATAATATACTGCTATTGATTTTCTGGAGTATATAATATTCATTGGTAATCGGAACATATCTGATTCAGTGATGTCAAACCATTACCTACATGGAAATAAAATATTCAAATAGTACATTGGATGCAATTAAATAAAATCTTACATGTGTACCTGTACATGCTAAAAAAACAATCATTTGTTATTTTTAGTCGATCGAGGACGTCTACGTGGACCACTTGAACACAGTGAAATCGCCTCAACCGAGCCTGACGTTCATAGTTAAGACGACAACGAGACTGTACCACCTAATGGCTCCCAGTCCGGAAGCCATGCGAGTCTGGGTGGACGTGGTGTTCACAGGCGCCGAAGGCTACCACGAATTCGATCCCAATGCGTGATCAAGTTCAAGCTCACGCTACCATTGTAAATTATCATCCATCCGATAGCTTTCATGCTACGAAAAACGCGCACAAGCTCTGTAAGTGAGCAAAACAAAAGCAACAAGTTTCACTAACAAACTTGCAGTTCTTTGTATTATGTCTCTCCCTTGCAGAGGGAAATTTGCTCGGCTGAACGAAACAAAAGTGTAATGCGAAGACAAGGTGCCACTGCTTTTTTAAAATAATTTTTATGTTTTATCTCATCAAGTCGGAGGGCATTAAGGCGATAAAATGTCATTGGCTACATCTCGATAAAGTAGTCTTACAGCTCTTGATCTAGTCTTCCAGAACAGAATGAAAAGTTGCCAAACTCTTGGAATGATACTTATACGTTAAAATTATACATGTCATTTTACGTGTCGTTTGATAGACTTGATGAAAAATTGTACATAGAATAATACGGATTAGCGTGATTGTTGTTTGATGAAGTGGAAGAACTGAGACTGATTAACTGGGGGGGTCGATAATATTATTACTACTATACATACTAATCATTTACATTTTTTTTTTTTTCATTTTGTGAAAGTGGGTGCGTAAATACAAGTGCCAGACAATACACCAAAGTGCATTTACTGTAGGTAGACATTTTGTTACCTCTTAAGAATTAAATGAATGGATTTTGATTGCGTTGAATTCTCAAAATCACATTTTAGATCTAAAATGTTTAACTCTTCATAAGTTACAAAACGAATAACGGCCTAGTATCAATTAACATTGTTATATTAAGAATCTTGCCTCTTTCGCTAGAAAAAGATATCAAGAAAACAAGACGGTTGAAACTAAAAATTGTTAATCTTACGTTGCGAATGACCTTGGAAGACTTATTGGTTTTTCAGGCGTATTTTAACTGCTATGACTTGGTTCGTACCAAACAAAAAAAGTATCTTTCAAATAAACGTATTAATATGCATGAATATGTTTGTTTTTTCTCATGCGTAAACCTCACCACCTCACCAATTAGCATAATGAGCAAAATTAAATCAAAGAAAATAGCATCAACAGAAAACCAAAAATTTATATTTTACTATAGTAAAAAAAGGAACTGTATAGGTATTCAATGAAAAGGACTTTTCAAATGCTATGGCTGTGCATACAATCAATTATAGACATTGAATATTAAATATATAAACAATAATGTACTCACTCACTGATGAGGCTTGCAGGTGAAACAAGTGTTACGCGATTAGGAGAGCCCTTGAGCTTGAGTTTGTCTCTGTTGATCAATTTGACTTTAGTTGGTACTTTAAACATCGCTGACACCAAAGCAAGATCTAAATGAAGCTAACCTTAATGTAAGGTAAAAAAAAAAGTTGTTAATAACACAAACAACAAATAGACTTTAAAGTCCTGTCATTAAAATCATTGCAAACCTACTGTAATATGTTATAATTAATGTACTTGAAAGCTAAAAAGTCCGTGAACCAGCACAACTTTATCGCACTACCTAATTAAACTTTTAGCCGAAATTAAAAAGAAACGGTTATTACTGTAAGTAACTACGACTTTTATTCGAATGATCGTAAAAATTATTAATGCAATGCGGCTCTTTCAAGGTACAACTCAAGTTAATACGTGTCGGACGAAAATACACTTTTGAACTGTGAACTTCATCGGCGCCATGATGAGTCGAGGTTTGATAGGGTCAGGTTAGGACTCGCGCAAAAAAGCGGGAAGGCGCGCGACTGCACAAAATTTAAAGTCTGCAGTATTTTCGTCTCTTATCAACCGTGCACAGTCAATATCAATAATTCGAAGCTTTTTTGTTTTCGTAACGTCAACAATTACCGATTGTGCGTAAAAACTTGATGAAAACATTTATTACTCTAAAGTGATGGTTTTCGTCTCGCGTTATAATCATAGTGTTTTTACAAAACTGTGTCAGTATTGAGCAAATGAGTTCGTAAATGTTTGCTCATGTTCACGACAAAAATGTTAATTTGAAGTTTCCTGACAAAGAAAGAACACATATTCAATCAAACTAATACCACAATTTGTTGGATGGTTTGCTGTAGATCATTTTGGAGACAATGGCATATTCTGCATCTTTATGTGAGTTAAATTATTTCACGTTTACATATGTTCATTGTTGATTGGTGACGTAAAGTACACACTTTTCTCGCAACTTTTAACTATTTTGATTTAACCAAAATCTGTAAATATTTTATGATGAAACTAGTGAAAGATATTTAGTACAGGTCACTGTTTGTTGGATAACTATGACTTGACTTTATACAGATATGTTATAATGTGTACTAACTATTAACTCATAAATCAAAGATTCTTTTTATTAGGACTAGTGTTAAAGAATGAGGACAAAGAATTAATAATCAGTTAATTTTATGAAAATCGACGATTCTTTTATTACAAACGTATTACAAAAAAATTTAAAAGACGTGTACAAAACCTTGAAGATACGTAATTTTTACAATAAAACAGTTACAGTACTTCATTCTGATCCAAATGATATTGGCGTGGCATCTAAAGTTTCTAAGTCAACGAGCACTGCGGTTTTATCATTTGCAAACTTTGGAACGCAAATAAGGCGAATTTTTTGACCTTCACTCCCTAATTGAAAAGTATAAATGATTAGCATTCGTTAATTGGTTATGAGTTGTCCATTTAACAACTTACCTTGGTATAACCTAGTATCGTATTTTTCCATATTTCCAGCAAAATAAATATCAGGACATTCTCTTAAAATAAACGGATCACTTTTACAAAATGGTATACATGGGATGGTGTCTGGTGCAGTTGGGCACAGGTGTCTCCATTCAACTGATCTCTGAAGCCACTCGATCGGCTCAACAGTTGAAAGTCCACAAACTTTTTGGATATCCTGAATGGGTAGTCCAGCTGTGCCAACAACTATTCTATCAGATATTGTTCCTATCCATGGATTCGTCACCCCATTTATGCTTTTAAATCTAAAAAGTAAAGTAGATATACATACTACGTTTATCACTGCTATTGGAATATTATAAATCAGCCAACCTTCTAGCTTTAGGAAACGATCCTGGGTGCATAGCATTCTGAGGCATCATAAGAGTAGTGACATCAAATTGTCCTGGTAAAATGGTAACATAGCAGTTGCTGCCAAGCGTCTCCAAAAGTGTATCTAGTCTCTCTTTGCCTTCAGACATGTTGTTGGCATTTGCTGCATCTTCAGCTCTTCCACTCAAAAGTCCTTTGCTCAAATGCTGATCGGCACAAGCTTTTATACTGTTGCCTGCTATCACAACACGAACAATGAATGCTTCATTTTTTTGGTACTCTGTGGTACCTGCCAAGCCACTGATCCACTCTACTAGCAAACTCAGTGAAAGATCCGGTGGGTTTGTTGCAAGTTCCAAGCCTGATAGAATAACAAGCTTTCCAACAGGCTTCGAGGATATTTCTTTCTGAGGAAGACAACCTGGAAAACACCAATCTTCCACCTGTTTAAAAAAACAAAAAATATATACAAATATTTGGCCTTTGAAGTTCAACTTTAACTGGAATTAAGTAGATCCTTACTTCAAAAGTGCTCTTTTTATTTTCTGCTCCAATAACAGCGCAAACAACACCAGTGACTGACTCTTTGACATCAACTTTGTCTCCTGTCAGCTTGATACGAGATGTTTGATCTTCCAAAAACAATTGATCCTCTTCCAAACAATAGTGCACTTTTGGAGCTGGTGCAGTCATTTGGTGTTCTTCGCTTAGCTCTTGTAAAATTGATGGCTTGTTTGTCTGATGCTTGTACAGAGTGCCAATGATAACGCAACGTTTTCCATTTTGATTTTCCAGTTCTGATAATGGAATCAAGTCGACATTTGATCCTAGATATTGAAAAGTAAACAATTTATTTTTACACACACTTATTTGGTAAAACTAGTAACTGTTGGTACACATTTTGGAACAATAACTACCCCATTTTTCTCTGACTTTTTGCTTGAGAACTGATGATAACTCATCAAGCCTTTTGACGTATAAACTTGCAAACTGTTTCATGTAACTGTCACCCTCTTTTTTGTATCTTTCTGTTAGATCAGCATAACTGACAGTCTGACGATCGTATTTACATCTTAATTCATCAGAGTTCTCCTTGAGAACAACCATTGTTATTTTGCTTGCAAAAATAAAACTTAATCTCACGAGCTTAGATAAATGAGTTGGTCGACGACAAAATTGTTTACTTAATCGAAGTCTAACCTTACCTGAGACCCGTAACTCGATAATTCCGCGGAAACGGACGGATGAGCGATTCTTCGAGAATCGAGCTTCGACCGAAGAGGTGAGGAACTTTACAACAGGTTCGTTTGGGGCTTACAGTGCGAAAGCCAGGTGGGTTCCCGTGGCCTTTCCCATTAAAATAGTCCCACCCAAGTTTTTTTTATATATTTTGACCTGCTGAACACGATTTTCGATGGTGGCTTGCTGTAAAATTTGCACATCAATAGTTATTAACAAATTTTATAAACAAATTGAAAAATTATAAAATTTCGGTAAAAAAAATGTATTCGTATTCTTTGNCAAAAAGTTTTTTAACAATCGAGATATTAACGGTTGAAAATCGCTAAATTCAAATTTTTAAAAATTTTGCGAATGTTTTACTAAAAAAGTATAACTATTATAGAAAAATTGCTTGCAATATTTTTTGCTTAAAATGTGCCAAAGAATACGAATACATTTTATTTACCGAAATTTTATAATTTTTCAATTTGTTTATAAAATTTGTTAATAACTATTGATGTGCAAATTTTACAGCAAGCCACCATCGAAAATCGTGTTCAGCAGGTCAAAATATATAAAAAAAACTTGGGTGGGACCATATTAATGGAAAAGGCCACGGGAACCCACCTGACTTCCGCACTACAACTTGTCAAAAAAAGTTATCTTCACCTGATACATATTTTAGACTCATTATCACTTTTCAATTGAAATAAAATAAATTCCGAAAATGAAATGAAATTAATAAAAAAAAACCATTTTTTTTGTGTTCTCTCCAGTTTAAACAAAAAAGGTGTTTATGTATTTGTAACGTAACGAAAATCTTGACCATTACAAGCGTTTTTCGATTCACAGGATATAATTTAATTTTTTGTGTTGTTACGTACGATATGCTGGGCATATCATACTGACTCACCCTAGTAACGATAATCCTACGTAACAGTATCTTTAATGATTATTTTTTAATGAAGATGTCTTTAAAAAATTGAGAAAAAAAAAATTTTTTTTTAAATCAGGGGTCCATATTCAGAAAATGTCCATTTATTTCCAAATGTCAGTAGCATTTAAGCTGTTGATTTACAAGCCTATTTATATTTTGGACACCATATGTTTTTTATACTGTTAGGAATTGAAAGTTTTTTTGTCAGTGAGTCGGTTATTGGCTATTATTCTTATCAACAACATTATTATCCAACATATAGCGATTTGTTGTATTTAAAATGTATTGTAGGATGTTTGACTTTACCAAGTGAAATAAATGTGAGACAAAAAATTTTCCCACATAATGGCGCGTAAAGTTTACAAAAACTTGACGTAATATAAACATGATTGTTTTTTGCTTTAAAAAGAGTACAGCATTACCATCATTGAATTACAAGTTTATTAAGGTATTTTTATTAAATTTTCCTTATTAAGTTTATTATACGCAAGTATACTGTTCAAGTCGCTTGGGTAAGGTTGCGTTACATACGCCGACGGTGTTTTTTCCTCTACAATAGGTTGATATTTCATTGTGCTTAATTTTTTTCAACACGAAATTAAAAAACAACAAAATTAAAATAAACCACACGAAACAAATATTACTTTATTTCCTTGAAAAAGACTAAATAGTTAATTTTGATGTTCATTATTGGTAGAACTTACAAGAAGAACACTAAAACATGCGAAAATCAGTTTAGTAACGTTAAAATTATAGTCTTAAGACTACATCAGTTATTTATTTCAACAGCAAACCTGTTTTTTGTTTGCTTATTGTTAAAAGATACTTAAACCTCCCCGTTTTGGTGTTATCATACGAAAAATGGCGTCTACTTTGGCTGATATACCTTACAAAAAACGGATCATTAAATGAATTTTATTGTTTGAAATTCGCGCAAAATTTATAGCTGCAAACAGCTACTTTTAATATTTATTACTTGCACATGATTATAGCTACTTTATTATCAATTATAGCTTTTGTATTACGCGCCTCTTTCTTACAATCAAATGTAGTCCCCCTACCCCTGCAGATGGAGCCACTTCTTTTAACGTTATAAAAGTAAATGATATTCTCAGCAGAATGTTTAGCGCTACTAAAAGCCCTGGAATTTCTTATAATTTACGAGGCTTAAGAACGTAATAGGAATTTTTAATTAGTTTGGATTCCTGCCCATTTGGGTATAGTAGAAAATGAAAAAGTTGATAAATTAGCCAAATTAGCAGGGGATAACGGGCCTCCCCTCAATGTTGAAATATCTGCCACTAAATGAACGCAAACAATTTTATAAAATCCTTTGGCAGATAGTTTTCTTTTACTTTCTTCAAATATCTTGAGTTTTGTACGTAAAGATGAAACTATCGCTCGAACGGAAGCAAAAAACAAAAATGGATTACACTAAATGGGTGCGAGCCACGTTTACGCTCGTCTTACTCTTTGGATTGCAGAACTTACTATACTGCTTGTGGTTCTCCATCGACAAGACAAAACCTACATTGATTCACTTGCAATCCATTAAAGTTAAGTCATCTTTCCAANTTTGCAAGCATTTATTTCCAAACATTTGATTTGAGTGTGCACTACGAAAAAAGCTCGAAGCATATGCAGCCTTATTGAACTTGAGGTGGGTGGAAGATCTTCTATTAATGATTGCTTGCAATGATGATAAGACCACACCCTCAATTCATCGAACGTCTTGCATTTTGCATTTTTATTTACTACATTAACCAAACATTTTTCGGCATTTATTGAACTATCTTTTAATACTCATTCGTAATAATCTAAAAAATTATTTTTATTTTATTGAATTTAGATATTTTATTGGCAGGTATGTGTACTTCTAAGATCTTTACCTTCGCCAAAATTAAGTAAGTAATTAACAGGATTTTCTTGCACTGCCTTTAATTTGGTGCTCACTTTGCTGGTATAATTTGCCCCCGTAAGGTGATGTAGAGCGGAAAGTACACGACAAAACTTATCCTCTAATGCCTCGGCGAGAGAATGGATAGGTATATTCCGTACTGATGCCGCAGATCCAACTTGCATCCACAAAGTCTGAAAATGAACATTTAGAATTATAAGATTTCCAATGAATTAATTAATGTGAACGATGAATTTATAGAAATATACCTGTAAAGCACTTTTTTTAAACTGATGAAGAAAGTATAGCGCTAAAACAACAACATCAGTGTCGGAAGATATCAGGTAAACATTAAAGTATCCAGCATTGATTGCATTTTTGATATAAATAAAAATTTTTACGTCCGCTTCTTCTATGTCAGTTCTTTGTAAATCTGTTAAATTCAATGATTCCACGTTGGACTCACCTGGTGAATGATTAATCGTACTGAATATAACAACAAATTCTGAAAAAACACTCTTTTTCATCACATAATTTTTTTTTAAATTTTAGAGCAACACTTTATTATCAGGTGATCCCCAAAACGTTTGTTCAAGCTTTGGTAAATTTGTATTCTTTTTAATACTGCTGTAATTGATCTTAGTACATTTACATCTTCTTTGGTGCTCAGAGGACTTAATCGAATTCGGAAAATATGAATCAAATATAAAATCGATTCTTTCTGTTCTGTGACGTGATGCTTTTCGAATAATAATATCACAAAATTTATTCGCTAAATCTTCAAACGTTGTTTTATCTTTCCAGCTTATTTTTCTAATTACTAACATGAAATCAACAACTAAACACACTTTTTCTGTTTTTTTTTTGACACACTATACAATACTGCCAATTTATTATACTACTTGTTAAATCACACATATTTTTGGAAGACATCCTTCTCTAGAGAGCATACTGCAATCACTATGTCGAATAAGGGCATAACGGCATGTGCAATGCGGACATGCATGTCTTTGCTTGTTTAAACAAGTGAAAATCGCGATGACACCTTTCCCGCACGTATACGTAAACTTCGCGGGAAGTATAAATTTGAATAGTATAGAGTACTATAAGTAGTATAGTTCTACCTTATTATAATGATGCATTATTATTATTGTGATTATCTTTACCTTTTTATTACTTTTATTATTATTATCTTTATGATTATTATAGATAAAAAAACATTCTCTGATAGTAAACTATTTTGTATTTATTTACTACATAGTTTTAAAATCAATACATTAATGTAAAAAAAATGGAATTACAATGAATGTGGCAAATATGATTAAACAAAATCTGAGTGAGGACTTTATGGTTTAAAACTGTAATTCATTTACAATTAAATTTAAGTACCTGTATTAAATTAACAAATACTATGTCCGTAAATTTTCACAAAAATATGAGTCCTGTGTAGGTAAAAATGAATTATGATTCTTCAAATTTGCGAATTTATTTTCAAACCTGCCGTCATGTAGAGAAAAAATTAAAAAAGATAATTTTTATTTTAAACTTACCAAAGAATAGGAAAAAAAATTTAATTTTACCGAAAAAAATATTCTTTTCCGCCCTCGGGTGGTTTTGGGAGGCTAGTACTTTCTCGGGCGAAAAAGCAGTTTTCCGGAACTCGTTCGAAAAGTCTCCTTTACGAACCTCGTTACGTCCCTCGCCTTCGGCTCGGGCCGCAAACCTCTCGGTTCGCAAACAGAGACTTTTCAAACTCGTAGGAAAACTACCATTTCTAATTTGTTGCAAAATTTGTTTATAATTATTGATTTGATAGTCATGCAGCAATACACCCTTAATAATTTCGTACAACTAATGAAAATACTAGAAAAAAAATTGGGTGGACTAATGCAAGTCAAAGGTATACTTCGTATTTTTATACGTATGCAGACCATGGGTAGCATTGCAAGAAGCTCGCGATTCAAAGCTTATTATTGAGAGACAAATTTTTTTTTACCAGTCTGAAGTTTACGTATTCTTAAAGTGCAATGTTTAACGAAACTTCAATGCCTTGCAGAGTTGCAAAAAGTTTTTTAACAATCGAGATATTAACGGTAGAAAATCGCAAAA